AAAAGATCTGCTGCATGTTGGAACGACAGTAACGGTGATGTGGCAGCGTGACTGTTGCACTGTTGGGACACCGCGACGCTGTCGCGGATGGATGACGCAGCCTCCGGGGTGCTTCAATTTTTTTATGTCATGGCGAATGCCACAAGAAATTTCGTTAAACGTGGAAATGCGATTTCCCTGTTCACCGAAACGTGTGCATTTGTTCATTGCGTTCACGGGAAAGTTTCATAAACTAAACGTTCATAAATCAATAAATACCTGAACTGTAATGCATACTTGACTTAAAGCTTTAGTGACTGCAGAAATTCATATTCTTTGGGTCTTTCGGTAAAGTCACATAGATAGGTTATTTTGCTATTTTCTTTGAACCTATCAACGTGCCTTGACCGAAAGACCCAAAGAATATGTAATGCATACTTTTACGTTTTATTGAATGTATGTATCATGGGCATAAGAGTCAAGTTCATGCATCACTTCAAACCTGGAACACACACACTACTTAAGACATGTACATCCCATTCTCCTCTTGTATGTGTAGTGACACAACGCATACTGCTGTACAGCAGCTGCAACTGCAGGTAGACACGCCGTTGAGCATATAAACGGGTGTGCCGGCAAGGTGGAGGAACTGGGGCAAGGGTCAGGGTAGACCTCGTGGGGAGGCCCCTGGAGCCCTCTGGTGGGTTCGAGAAGGGAGAGTGAGAGATCCGGGCTGCCGGTTCTGGGAGTAGACTCGTCTCGTCGTTGCCGTCGTCGTCACCGCCTTCGCCGCTGCCGCCTTCACCCGATCATTGCGCGGCCGGACAGTAGTTGGCTGTCTCGGTCGAAGCTGTCGGTGCAACGCGGACAGGTTCATGTCTGGGCCGGGTCGTACGGCAGCGTGGTCGTGAGAAAGAGAGAGGCGGCTGGAGTTGGTGGCGTGAACAAGAGACAATAAAGAAGGACAGTGCCCCCTGCGACTACCTCAGCTCCGACTGAGTGTGTGTGCGCCGCACGCCACCCACAAACACACACAAGCCTCGAGAAGGAAGAAGTGACCTACGACACTACATGTATTCGTTTGGGTTGGCTATGTGATGAATGACACCTTAGCTAAATAGTTAAAGTATGTTGATATCACTACCTTGCATTACTTCTCTCGGCCGTATTGATTTTTTTTGTAACCAAACGCCAAGCGTCGCAATGTGGTCAAGTCCATACTGTAGTGGGGTCTTGTTGAGAGCTGGAATGTGTTGTGTGTGGCGTATGCGTGGCATGTACTGTAGTACACACACGGTATGTGATGAGTGTGTGATGTGTGTTATCATATGCATGTGATATTTTGTGAGCAAATCTTTTTTTCCCCAAAACGGCTTAAGGTGGAAAATTGGCCATCATGTTCTCACTTGGCATCGATATGCGCTGCTGAATGAACCAACGCCAAGCAAAATAAGAATTTGCTTATGCATTGCAACAGGCTTGCTTGAACACATTTGCTCGGATCTCAATGTTATTGCTGAAGGCTTAAGACGCGTTCCTCACACAACTATAATCATCGGGCATCACTAACTTATACAACATTCAGCCAAGTCTTTCATATAAAAATATCCAAAGAGGGGACATGCACATTATTCCCGCTTGCAATCAGTACTTTATACCCGCTAACCAACAGTATATTTAAAGACAACAGTGGATAAATAATACTGTTCGAGTTGGCAGACTTCCTCGACTAGGAATCAAACTTAGTGCTCCTATTCTTAGCTCTTTCGGTAAAGTCACGTTGAAGGGAAACAATAAAATAATAAAATATAAAACAATAAAAATTCTCACGACGTTTTATATATTTTTTTATTATTTTGTTTCCCTTCAACGTGACTTTACCGAAAGAGCTAAGAATATGAATTTCTGCAGTCACAAAAGCTTTAAATCAAAATTTAGTGCTCCTAGTTAAAGACTACACTGTGCTAACTATTATACTCCAGGTTTGTCTCTTTTTTACAGCACTTTGGATTCCATTCACACCTCTTATGGCAACATTTCTTAAGCCGCTGCCGAAACAATTGTGTGAACTCTAAACACTAATGTAGGCTTCTATCATTGTCTTGAAAGCTCAGGTGATGCTTATCCTACCAGTTGATTAACTAAATGCGGATATTTAATCTCAGTCATCAGTACAGTATATGATGAATAAAATATAAATAAAATCACATAACCATATTGTAAAGCAGTTATACTGTAGTTATCACATTATTTTATCATCACTGTGGTTACATTTCTGGATTTGTTGGCTTTATAATTATAATAAAATATATTTAATTGGAGTTAAAGAAAAAGTAAGTTAATTATTTGTTTTCTAAAATACATTCCATTTAGCTACGTTGTGCCAATAGTAAATCATCAAGTGCCTTTGTTGGAAATTTCACACATCATCTGTCTATTTCATTTGCATACGTATGTTACAGTGAGAAAACGTTAACTTTTAAGTAAATATTATACACATTACTTTAATTAAAATGAACGGTGCTCCCCAATCATTTCCAAGCTTAGTACTAACATAACGCAGTCACATTAACCCCAAAGACCAGGAGCTACACTGGTAATAACTATACTCATGGAGAATCAATTTCATATTTCGGTCGCTCAATACGTTACGCTACAGGCGTGAGGTTCTCGTGCAACACGGTACTTAAGAGGTCACCTTTGTTTAGATGTGGATCTATAGCAGTTAATGCAGGCAGAAAATGTTACCATGACACCTGCATACTCTTCCAATGAAAGAGAATTGAGAATAGACTGGCGTATTGGCATAAGACCGCTGATGGAATGAAACACGTACAGACCCTGCTCGACACAAGAGAACTAAAATTTGCTTTCAAAAATGTCTAAAGATTTGAAGGCAGTGGCAACATTGTATTAATAATACCAATGTGTAGTACCTTCCGCGAAAGTTGGGAACAGTGTGGTTATAGGCACCGGATTATCTACATCTTTGGGTACATATTCTAAAGCACAACGCAAACATGTAATACACGGTGAGTCGCAAACACGTTTAGACATAACACAATTAAAGTACAAGAGATCATACATGATCTACAAAGATCACACATGACATGTCAGAACACAATAGTTATGGGCTCGGTGACAATTGTCTTCATGGTGACGACAGCTGCCAGTCGTCGATGGTCGTTGTGGCAACATTAACCGTATTGTGGTGGTGTCATAAGTACGATGACGACGACGATGGTGGTGGCATTATGACATGTTAAAGGTCGTACAGTGCTGGTCCTGTAATGTTCATGGCGGTGTGGACGATGTACTTGGCGATATGGTGATATAATGGTGACAACTGTGGTAGTGCAGTTAAGGTGTTGGTGGTGAGTGGCAATAGCATTAATGAATTGAATGACATTACGTACAGCTGGATGAAGTCATCGCCACGTCTTGTTTCGGTGACGGTGAATTATGGAACAAATGTCATCACGCTGGTAAGTGGAAGTTGATGAAGGGAAGGTTCAAGACCGATTCTGATGTAACTCGCTAGGTAATTTTTTTTCAACAAAGTTTTGAGATTTGTGGGAGACTTGTTGTTTTTTCTCCACAATGGATTCCTATTATTTTAGTTGGACAACTGTTAAATGTGTATATTCATGGTGTTAATGGTTATCATACTGAACTTGCAATACACAGGGTCTCCGATTCCATTCGATCTCCTCAGAGCGGCAGTGGAAACGGGGCAAGGTTCTAACAAAAATTCACGCACCTCTGTTCACCCAGCCTCATCAGCAGCAGAAATGTTTAACACCAACAGATTGGCAATTTGCTGGTGATGGCATAAAGCGTGGGTAAGCCAATACTGTATCTTCAGACGCGTCTCTGCTCAACGTGGAAGTGCGGGCCAAAAATACCGTCTCCACTTCGCTCGCGTGAAGGATGTCCTTTCGCCACAGCAGTGGCGTGAGAAACTAAACTTTTTATTTATTTTACCAGGTAAGGCCCACTGAGCTTCATCACTCTATTTCAGAAGCGACCTGGCCACAATTAATAGCTCAACGAAGGGGCGTATCGTGCGGAAATGTATAGCAGCCGAATACTCTTAAACGCGTGGTGATGTTCATTCTAAATGCGGAGGGGAAAAACCGGAGGACCCGGAGAAAAGTCCACGCGACCACGGGGCGAGAGACGCCGCAAACTCCAAATATACAGCAGCAGGCGCCAGGGTCGGGATCGAACCCACCACCTCCAGTATACCAGGCGAGGTAGTTAACATCTCCTAGCCACCGTGATGATGATGATAGACACGCAAACTCCAAATATACAGCAGCTGCAGCAGGCGCCAGGGTCGGGATCGAACCCACCACCTCCTGTATACCAGGCGAGGCAGTTAACATCTCCTAGCCACCGTGATGATAGAGACGCCGCAAACTCCAAATATACAGCAGCAGGCGCCAGGGTCGGTATCGAGCCCACCACCTCCTGTATACCCGGCGAGGCAGTTAACATCTCCTAGCCATATACAGCAGCAGCAGGCGCCAGGGTCGGTATCGAGCCCACCACCTCCTGTATACCCGGCGAGGCAGTTAACATCTCCTAGCCACCGTGATGATGATGATGAGAGAGAGACACGCAAACTCCAAATATACAGCAGCAGCAGGCGCCAGGGTCGGGATCGAGCCCACCACCTCCTGTATACCAGGCGAGGAAGTTAACATCTCCTAGCCACCGTGGCAGGGCCGCACCTTTTGCTTCACCTATAACCGTATCGCCGTGTGTTACTGCACGGTGGCACACACCCGGCACGGTCGGATCGCAACGGCGAACGACATCATCGCCCGAGACTGAACACCACCACCACCACCGCTCGCTTGCCGGTGCTGCAAGGAGACCGAGCGACTCGGCTCGTCAAAAAGTGGCACCTGCCAAGAGAAGGAGGAGGAGAGCGGGGTGGTGGTGGTGTGTGTTGCGAGTGGTTGCTTGTTGTGGTCGTGAAACGGCGGCGATAGCAACGAGTTCCACGTTGGTACCTGAGGAGGCGCCGCTCGTGTCTCTGCAGGGTGGCACCGGCCGCCGACGTGACGATGGCGAGCAGTAGCGGCAGTAGAGCGACTCTCAAGAAGGAAAGGCCTCCCATTTAAAACAAAAAATCGGGAGCGCACTCGACGAGTCGTGCGAATATAAATCGGCGCGTATTTACAGAGAGTTGTCTTACACGCGGCTATTTACAAACGACAACAAAGATAGCACACGCCCCGACGTATATTAAAAAAAACTGAAAAGGCGATTGGAGAGGGCTTTAGGGCCACTCCTGCCACCGAGGCGCCATCGCTGCCGGTGACGTCGAGCGCGTTTTCTTGATGGCAGAAGTTGTCTTCGGGAAGATGTAAAGTGTCTTCTGGAAGATGGAAGTTTCTTCCCTGGAAGAAGGAAGATGTCTTCTGGAAGAGAAAGTTGTCTTCTGGAAGAAGACGACGAAAGGTATCTTCTGGAAGATGAAGAAAGGTGTCTTCTTGAATATTAAAGTTTCTTCCCTGGAAGAAGGAAGATGTCTTCTGGAAGAGGAAGGTTTCTTCTGGAAGTTGTCTTTGAGAAGGGGGACGACAAATAGTTAAACACAAATTTTAGAGACTAATTGTAATTTTACGTTAATACATTACCCCACTTGCACCTATTCTCTTCGCACCTCATTGGCTCACAAGTGACGACATAACATTTATCCCCTACCTCTATTTAAGACCGAAACAGGAGGATTTATTTAACAATTCTGTCTGTCGCCTGATGATGCTGGTTGCAATTACCGGCGAAACGTCGTACTCGAATTGTTGAGAGTTTACTCTCCAACACAACCGTGTATTGAACTAGTCACGAATTGGTACTTTGTGTTGACGTGGCAAACCTTAGTAAATGGCTGTCAGGTGGTGGTGGGTTTGACGACACATTTGTATTTACGGGATCTAACCCAAAAACCTCTTTATGGGGGGAAATGAGGTTTGTTAAAATTGTTCCTTTGCATTACTGGTAACCCCGGTAAAAACGGGTTACCGGTTTTTTGTACACATATCGAGGAACTTTTCAATAAACGTAACGGATTTTTTCGTACGTTGAACATTCCACTGGAAACGATTACCGGTTTCTGACTTTGGGAACCGGTTATTAATTCTGAAATCGGTTAACGGTTTAACGGTCGTCGTTTTAACAACCCTAGAGGAAGGTTGTACGGCGATGGTAGCTTTTTGAGTTTGAGTTTATTTAATTTGGTTAAGTTGATGATGCCACTGCATCATCAGCGGGGTGCACAATCACAAATCACACAAAAAGAACGTACAACGGATTCGTCATTAACGCTGTGGCCTTAAAAAAAGGAGGAAATATATGATAGGCGACGTTTTGGGAAACGACCTTTATTGATGTGCATTTGGATGGAGAACGTTCTCTTCTGGATCATTCAAAACATTTATTTGGTGATACGGGCAGACCTCTCTCTCTCTTTGTGCTCAAGATGCGCTCCTGGATAAGTGAGCGCTAAGCGAATCACTGTACTGTACACGGTGTACGAAAATGAATATATCAAAAAAGTGAATAGATGTATTGTTATTAAATATAGTGACATACATTTGATATTAATATATGCAGTAGACTTTAAGGTTTCAGGAGTAACCCCATTTTTTCCGATATGACAAGTCCGCCCGTTCACCCGACTGAATACCAATTTATATTTTTTCATCTCTGGGTTTTTAAATAAGTTAAAGTCTTACACTAACAAACCAACAGACATTGAAGAACTTCAGCATCGTATTGTTGTTGATGCTGTGTCATCATCCATCCCTACAGCAATCTTGGACAATTTGTTCTCAGAGTTTGAATGCCGAATTAGATTAATTATAGTGAATGATGGACCACATGAACCTTATGGTGGGACCCCGGGGTCACAAATAAACGGAGGTCAAAATCGTAATAAATTAATTTATTTTTGGCGACTCCGTCCCACCGCGCACATAAACGCCGGGACCCGCCTGGCGCGGATCGTTCTGTTGTCATGTCCAAGCGCAGCAGCGAGGACAAATGCGCAGAAGAAACACAACTTTTAAACTTCGATTGGCGCATCGTGTAGAGCTCGTCGAGAGAAACAGATTGCCGTGTCGTTCGCCTTCAACAGACATAAAATGACGTCGCAACGCAGTTTATGCGAAAGCATAAACTGTTTTGTCTCAAATTTAGCAATCTTTGGAGGAACGTAATCAACCAGGTGGGGTGTTGACTGTTGTGTTGGCCGACTGTCTGTGTTATATTGCATTGTATTTCCATGCTTACTGTTTGTTTTCTCATTCATTTGTACCTGACGATGGTTGCTTGTGTTGCAATCGAAACGTCGTATACTATTATTATTTTATTTAATTCCTTTCTACGTGACTTTACCGAAAGAACCAAAGAGTAATACCATAACACATTTAAATTAAAAAAATAAACCCCCGTATAAGTCTATTACATATTTTCATATAAAATGTATGTCAGTATCTCGAATAAAAACACTATTCAACGTTATTTTTGGTATATTAATGTTCGGACAAGCTGTATTTGTGTTGTTATTGCAAGACCACACCACCAACGTTCATTGACGAATGTGTTGAAGTTTTTGTTTTGAACCTTCTGGAAGAGGAAGACATTCTCTTTCCGAAAGGAGAAGCTATCTTCTCGAAGGTGAATATCTCTTCTTGAATTGGCCACGTCCGAGGTTTCTGAACCGGGGACTTCGCCACTGCTTTACAATTCTTAGGTTTTGCCAGAGGAGGAAACGTGCGCTTATATTCGGTCGCTGAGGATTAAGCACTTTCTCACCCTCCGACGTTTTAAATGCTCTGAAATAGTCAAAGCCAATGTGATTTTCGACTCAAATGCCATTGAGACATTTGGTGATCATCTCATGGCTACAGCCACGTGCCACTGGTGGACATTTCACATTCCTATGCCCATGGGCGAGTCTATTAAAAGGACAAAGTGCAAATTATTTTATCGACCCCGGGGGGATAATGGCCAAAGACATTTTTTATAGGTTTAAAATTGTAAGCCTAAAATGTATCCCACACGCACAAAGGTGAACTTATGTTTATTAAAGACATGTTTTATTATTAATGATATTTTGGGTGAGTTTATCACATAACTCCCGAGCGGGATGGGGGTTCGGAACGTCTCGTTCCACCGACTTATGGTGACGAAATGTTAACTACCTCGCCTGGTATACAGGAGGTCGTGTAATCGATCCTAATCCAGACGCCTGGTGTATATTCCGTGGTCGTGTGGATTTTCCTTCGGGTCCTCCGGGTTTTCCCTCCACATTTTGAATCAACTTACGTTTATATTATTTGGCTTCTGTAGCCACTTCAATGAGCTCCCATTTGAGGCCAGGTCGCGTTTGAAAAATAATCTAACAGCTCAGTGGGCTTTACATGGTAAAATAAAAAAAATATTTAGTTTAACTTTCTTTTTGTTTGTGATTTGCTTACCTTTCCTAGACCGTACTTTTCACTCCTATCGTATTTTTGTATTCTTTGAGTCTTTGAGTAAAGTCACGTAGATTGGTTCAAATTAATAAAAATAAAATCAACAAAAAACTGCGACGTTTCGATCACAACACAAGCGATCGTCATCATCTTTTTTCCTCGTGATGACGATCGCTTGTGTTGTGATCGAAAAGTCGTAGTTTTTTGTTTATTTTACTTTTATAAATTTGAACCTATCTACGTGACTTTACCGAAATACCCAAAGAAAGCTTTAAGTCAAGATGTATTTTTGTATTGTTTGTTGTAACTTTCTGACCCGGGCCTCCTGGAAATCTGTGGAAAAAAGAGCTTTATAGCTCATCGGATTACTCCAGTCTAATGATGATTCTGACTGACACAAATGGACCGGCCTGGTATTGGGATGCCACGTCTCCGCACCAAGCGGGGTTATTGCCCCACAGCTGTTAAAGTGGCATTGCAGTCCGCGCTCACCCCGGGTTTTACCCAGCCATGCAGTCACCACCCCACAATTCAGTGTGTCTCCAACCCAAGATACAGCGCGCTCTTTCCCAGAATGCAAAGTGCCTGCTCCAGCAACAACAGTAACAACAATTACTTTTTGGTTCTTTCGGTAAAGTCACGTAGAAAAAATTAAATCGTAGAATACGACGTTTCGATTGCAACACAAGCAATCGTCATCAGGTACGAATGAATGAGAAAACAAACCTAGTAAACTTAGAAATGTTATGCAATACAACACAGAGAGTCGGCTAACATAACAATCAACACCATACCTGGTTGTCTCTCTGCTTATGTGTCTGTCTATGTGTCTCCGTGTCTGTGTTTTGTCTTTCTCTAAAATGTAGCAATCTTTGGAAGAACGTTATCAACCACGTAGGGTGTTGACTGTTATGTTAGCCGACTCTCCGTGTTGTATCGCATTATATTTCTAAGTTTACTAGGTTTGTTTTCACATTCCTTCGTACCTGATGACGATTGCTTGAGTTGCAATCGAAACGTCGTATTCTATTATTTAATTTAATTTCTTTCTACGTGACTTTACCGAAAGAACCAAAAATGAATCCCTGCCCACTACAGCCATTTGTTTCTTGCTGTGGCTGTTTCCACCTGATGACGGGCGCTTGTGTTGCTTCCGAAACGTCGTGATTGAATTTATTTTATTTTATACCTACGTGACTTTATCGAAATAATTCCTGCAGTCACGAAAGCTCCAAATCAAATAACAACAATGTTCCTCCTCTTGACGGATCTCACTGCCGCGCGCACAATGACAGTCTATGCAACCCCCCCACTGCGTCCTGTATTCGTGGCACGTCGCCCCAATCGCGTGTCCTATACACATGGTGGACCTTGGCATCCGCGGCTTTGATGACCACACGTGGCCAAGCCGACAGGCCCTTGCTCCACGAACAAAGATCCCCCGTACAGCCTTAACAGACTGCTGTTAGAGAGCACCTATAAGGGCCGGCGCGGCACACGAGGGTGTGCTTGGCCAGCACCACGCCCTACTGCATTTGTCTCCCGAGTGGCGATGCTGACACACCCGAGTGCTCATTTAAGGCTGAGTCGACCTAGGCGAGGTCCAGAACCGGTTCAAATAAATCGTCGCTGGCGTTAGCCGTAAGCGGGATTCGAACTAAAATAACAAAGACACCACTCGCTCGTGCGCTTTGAATGTTTGTATTGGCACAGTCACAGGCACTACAAGGCACACGAAATGCCTATGAACCCCACGGACAATACGAGCGATTTCCTCCTCTTCGCTTACGAGGTGTCGCGTCTGAAATGAAACACTGGGGTCACGACCGGCCCTCGCGGACATGGACGGGCAGGCGAGAGCGAGAGAGAACAC